CGTAGTTAGCTATCTATATATCATGATACATTATATAATAGGATTTATCTATTATTTTATCTATTATTTCATCAAAAAATACTAGATTGTTCGGAGGATGTATGATAATAATATATATTACAACTATGAGCAGATCTTCAGTGTTTATGTACACAGGTATTTTTTGATGGTTGTCTACTAGTCCCCCTATACTGGTCTTTCTTCCTCTTTGTGTTTGTCATATTTCTTATATGACCATTCATTATGACAATACAGAAGTTACCTATCTATTTGTAGATCTTGCAATATGAACACTATAGAATGAGAATATCATTTTCTTCAGGTAGATCAGTTTGTCTTTGTTTCTTCGACATGTAATTGGAGTGTAGGACAAAAGCCCCCCCCCCCGCACGAAAGCCCCCCGTCTAAAAATGACAAGGTGGACAAAAGCCCCCCCCCCCATCAAAAATACAGGTAGGACAAAAGCACCCCCCATCTTTTTTCACACGCACAGGTGCTCAAATTTCATCAAATTTCACACAAACCTTTAAATAAAAATGAAAAGAATCGGTTTTAATGTTTATTTACAATGTATATATGAGTACGGTTGATGCGGCCTTTGTATTACATAACTTAATAGATCACGTTTTATCACAAAAGTTGAGACTGCACTGCGCATTCATTGATCTGCAGAAAGCCTTCGACTCCGTCTACCGCAATGCACTGTGGTTCAAACTTTTCAATATGGGCATCGATGGCAAAATTCTACAAACGTTTAGAGCAATGTATGCTGTAGTAAAATCATGCGTTAAAAGTTGTAATAAGTACTCAGACTTCTTCGAAATATCAATCGGTCTAAGACAAGGTCTTAATAATTCTCCTGCCTTGTTCGCGTTATTTCTAGAGGATTTAGAACTATTTTTGCAAGATTCGAACACGTCTGGATTATCAATGTATGATATTTGTGTAATATTACTAATGTTTGCAGACGATATGGTTTTAATTGGTAATTCTGTTCAGGACTTACAGACTAGTTTAAACAAATTATATGATTATTGCAATTACTGGGGACTTCAAGTTAATATAGAAAAAACCAAAGTCGTAGTGTTCCGTAAAAGGGGTCCTGTTAAGCAAGAAGAGCGCTGGTACTATAACAACCAACCTCTTGAAGTAGTAAATGATTTTAATTACTTGGGGGTCGTGTTTAATTATACCGGTTCATTCGTTTTGCATAATCAGTACGTTATTGGAAAGGCGATTAAAGCTTCAAACATACTTTTAAACAATATCAACAAATATGAATTAAACCCATCGTTATCTATGAAACTTTTTGATGCATTTGTCGGTGCGATCTTAAACTATGCATGTCCGATTTGGGGTTTCTCGAAAACAAAGGAAATAGAACGCGTGCACTTGAGGTTTTGCAAGTCAATCTTGGGAGTCAAACAAAGTACTAGTAACGCAGCCGTATATGGGGAACTAGCGCGGTATCCGCTGCATATTACAAGATACTATCAGATTATTAAGTATTGGTTACAAATTCTATCGACGGATAACATTATAATTAAACGTGTATATGACGAATCGTTGAAAAGATGCCTAAATAGTAATACAGTAAGTTGGGCCGGTAGAGTTAAGATATTACTCGATCAGTATGGGTTTTCTGACGTTTGGGAAAATCAAGATAACGTAGATGCCAAACTCTTCTTACCTTTATTTAGACAACGGCTATTTGACTGTTACGTACAGAGCTGGCGAGCTGATTTGCAAGCAAATAATGTTCTGAACACTTTATATGTATACCTTAAAGATGAGTTCGTCACGAGTGACTATCTGAATGTAATAAACTCTAAGTATTTACGTCAGTCTTTGACAAGAATACGCGTATCGGCACATAGGCTGCGCATTGAAACTGGTAGACACGGTCGAAATCGCATAGAACGGTCCGAGCGAGTTTGTCAGCTCTGTGATTCTCAAGAAATTGAGGATGAATACCACTTCACTATAATTTGCAAAGCCTATGAAACCTTGCGTCATAAATACATTAAACAATATTTTTACAGGCGCCCAAATATGCACAAATTCATACAATTAGTATCTGCTAAAAATAAAGTTATCACCAGAAACCTGGCGAAATATATTTACCAAGCGAGTCGTATTCGCACAGAGCTGCTTTATACAATACAGTAATAATGCAGTTTTATTTTAAAGTTTGAATATATACGTTTCTAAAGTGATAAGCAATATCAACTATAATTAGTTGTGTTTTTTTGTAACGGCCTGAAACGACATCAACGTATTAAACATATATCTGTGGTCGATGCTACAATAGTACTTTCCTGTAGATTGTTGTCTTTTTCTCAATAAACACCAAAAGTAATATTTTTATGGCATACAGATGCATAATGTCTACTTTACTTAATCATGTATAGCTATTGATTGAAACAGATGCTGAGGACATGTCCATATTATCAACGACTATATGATATTCCGTTCGTTCTCCAATAGTACTTTTTATAAATTGTTTTTCTTTACTGCCAAAAATAATATTTGATGTAATCAGTTTAAAAAAAAATACTTCTAGAACAGGTGTTAACTTTATTCTAACTTGTATGATTGTTCAATTGATAGAAAGTATTTGTTCACTTTACTTAGGTTAATTTTCAAATTTGACTTTTCCTTTTCTAAGATGAATACTTAAGTACATATTTTCTAAGGTAATGTCTTAAGAACATACACATACTTATTTAATCTTTATACTTAAACATTATTGATTGCTGATACAGAATGTTAACATTGTCAATCATAGTGACCATATGCCATGTATTTTGTAAATGTATATTGTACAACGATGTACCATATGTTGTGTACAAGTTGAAAATAAATTCTTCTTCTTCTTCTTCTTCTTCTATATATTGAAGTGATAACAAAGTATATGATAACAGATGAAATAATGCATGCATGCGATACTGAATTCATACCTTTTCTTATACACAACAAGGGTCAGACGAGTAGTAATGTTTTATCACTTTGTAAAGGGATCAAATTAATATCCTTAGCTCTATGTCACCTACATGTGATGTCCATAAATATCTTTTAAACACATGAAAAACACAACTTTAATACACTATATGTAAATTTGATTGACCATGGGGGGGGGGGGGGCTTTTGTCCTACCATTACTTTTTTATGGGGGGGGGGGGCTTTTGTTCTATGTGTAAATTTCATGGGGAGGGGGGGGGGTAGTTTGTCCACCTTGTCATTTTTAGAGAATTCTAGTAAATGCATAAATGATAGATTATAGATCATTCAAACATTTTTTGTTTTGAAACATATCTTGTAAAAACTCCATCAAATTTTTTTACAATACATGATAAAATTTAGAACAAGAAATACAAGAAATAACAAATTGCCAGTAGAAACCAGAAGTTGGAACAACATCGAACTTAACAGGCGTGTCTTTACACTGTGTGATAGATCAATTGGTGATGAATTTCATTATATTTTTGAGTGTCCTTGTTTGATAACAGCAGAAAACGTTTTTTGAAACATAACTATTTAAAGAAACATAATATACATTCTATTGATCTTCTTATGAACACTGATGTTAACATTCCAGATTACAAAAAAACTTTGTTTATTTATTAAAGAAATTATATTAAGATTTAAATGAGCCAAAAATTGTATAAATTTAATGTAGTGGAGAACCCTATTGAAGTATTTGTTTTAATCCTGACTCCCGCAATATTTATGTTAACAATTTATATATCATGTTATTTTGATACTGATTCTGAAGCCTCATTTATTATGTACATGTAATTGTATTATTACCTCATATATTGTCATGTTTGTATGATCTGAGTGAATAAAAATGAAATTGAAAATTGAAGTTAGACCGGGGGGTGGCTTTCGTCAGGGCGGGCTTTTGTCCGTATCCCATGTACTTGTGTCGATGTACATACCATGGTTTTTAAAATGATATGAAAAATAATATCTATGTTAGAAACATTATTGAATTTAATAATTAACTAAATTTTGAATAAATCAATATTATGCATTTATTAGCAGTCTTTGTCATGTAAACTTTTGTCTTTAATATAAAAATCAGTAGAAATAAATCCCTTTCCTATATTTCTTTAAACTGTGAAAAATTTAATTTGACTATGCTATACAATGAAAAGAAAATCATTTTATATTTTTGCTTTAACTTAATGTTTTTGTATTTAATATCAAAACTATAGATATACATTTTGAAATCGACTCATGCAATTAGATGAAAATACCTCTTTAAATTTATGATTACTTTATCACTATTTTTCTATAATCAAATCAGCATACCCGTTACAGACATAATATGAGCGAATTAACGAACTCGTGAAAAACATGCGTTCACGTGTTATCATCAAACAATCACGTGTAAGAATGTGATCAATCAGTTAACGCTTCTGCGACAGTAAATATTGCCGACAATTATATCCGACGTGAGAAAATACCATCCATTACATGCTCTGATACCGTCATCACATTGCCTTTGTAGTCACCGATCTATTTGATAATTAGATAATAATGTGTTTAGAGTGTTACTTTTAACACTGATTACACGATAAAGAAATAAAGTATATAAGAACAAAATAAATAAATACAAAGCCATACTGTTATTTTGGAACAAGCATTCATGTCAGGACTTATCTAATATACTAAAACATTAACAATATACATTAACTTACAACTTTATTTTTTATCTTGTGCTTCTCGTGATTGGATTAAGTTCAGGATAAAACACCTTTAAAGGTAAGAAGTAATTTTTTATTTTAGGCTTCGGCTCTTGTTATTTTATTTCTTTATTCGGTAGTTTTTTCTCTCATTGAAAGATTTTCATCAAAATCTTGCACTGTCTTTGAAAATGGTTTTAGTTTATAAACTTTTAAGTAAATGTACATCATAACATGCATCATTTAAGATGGAAATGAATACTTCTGACATTCTTGTCAAATATCGTATGTTTTATTCACAAATTTTGTTTTTCAGATTATAGAAAATGGCCTACCTGTTGAGTTTTGCTTTGGTACTTTTGGTTGTCATGACGACAGGGACATTTGGAGTACACATCCATATAGATTACCGGAACTTTGAAGGTGTGTATCATTTGTAATAATGCTTACACTTTTTTCTCTGTTATAGGTTCAATTTTGATTTAGTTTAAATTGCGGAATATCGGAAAAGTATTGCATTCAAACCTTTATAAAAAAATATGTGCGAAAAATATGCTAAAAGAGAAAGAATACTGCCTAGTGTTCGCGTTTAACAAGTGTCTCACACATGTAAAAAATAATGTATGACTGAAAAAGTTCAGAATTGGAGTTTTCTTCGAAGCTGAAAAGTAGCCATAATACAACATATTATTTTAATAAAATCTTAACTGCTACACAGTGCTTTTAAACAGCTCATATTTTAACGTCTCTGATAATAATAACAATGATGTTCATCTTTTTTTTCAGCGTTGACATGTTATACGTGCCCGATGAAGAAGGATAACGAACAATGCAACAATTGGGCGCCTAACATACCATGTCCATTCAGTAAGTACATGTTTATTGTAACCCGTGCAGTGACTCAAATACCGTATCCTTCTTGGCGATCCACTACTTTATTCTAGGTAGGCTGCGTAATGCAGAGTCGGAGCTAAAACTATATACATAGACAGATATAGACCATAGTTACAGAGACTCTGATGTTTTTCTAATACAATAATTCTTGTGTCCAATAAAAAATTCTATAAATATCGTTCATAATGTATTGGTAATGCCCAATTCTTTAAAAGAGTGTTAGGCATTCTTTTTATAATTTAGGTAGTTTCTATATTGTATCATAGCCATTTTTCATTATCAAGTATTGATCTATCACCATTATAATAGCCAGTCTTTTGAAATATATTTCTGTTTAGTTTAAACATATTTTATTTCTCAGAATGTTACAATTTACAATATACCCAGAGCAATTCAAACATTCTTTAAAAAAAACACTTTAAAAAACAGTATTAGAATGAAAGACAACGTGTCGTTTGAAATTCTTCTCCTTTCCGTTTCAACTCGACAGTGAGAAAAGCATAACGTCACTTACATTTTCACTAATTACCCGACGTATAAGTAGCTGCATCTGAAGTTATTACAGAATGTGGAGAGTATGATTGCTTTTCAATACATTGCAAACGTAATGTCTCAGAAATAAATAGTTAATACCATTGTACCATTTTAACAAATCATATATTCATATATTATTTTTGTATGAAAGTTCTTATTAAATTTATATACTTATATTCTTCAGGACACACGGTATGCAAGACTGTGCATCGTATAAATGAAAGAACGGGCGAAAGTATACAAGTTGACAAAATGTGCGCCATGCCAGAGCAATGCAGCAATGATCACGTAGGTTGCAAGGCGACGGGTTTAGAAGGAGAAATCGTAAGTTTAAACTCAAACATTATATAAATTTTCATTAAGCTCTTTAATTAGCTTCTTCGTAAATTCATGATATTGTAATGTTAATTCGTTGTGTTCTCATTTCGTATTACACCAAACCCTGTTGAAATGAAACGCACAGTTCCCCAGTCGTTTCTAACATCATACTAAAGTTATTACTTTTATCCAAAATAAAATCGCCAACATTTCCAGAATTTAAATATGTATTACAAACATATAAATTAAAAGTAAACCTTTTCCTTTTGATTTATTTTTTCAGGAATGTATCTCGTGCTGCACAGTATCTTACTGCAATGTCGCCGTACCATACAACGTCACCACGTCACAGACAATGTCCGCTTCATTGATTGGTTCAACAGCAAGTCACGTGACAAAAGTGGGCTGGCTTAATATTACAGTTACGCTTGCCTTCTTGATAATTCTAAGAATTGTATGAAGGTTAAATACAAGTTTTCAGAAAAAAAGTGCTAAAAAATCGTTTCACAGCTGACGAGTCATTTTTTGTTTACATTGGACTTCTTTGTTCAAAAAGTTATTAGCCAAATTTGACGTATGTTCAGACCAGACTGGGACAGATTTTTTTGTTCCAGGTTAAGAATTGACTGGTTCAAAGCCTAGTGCTACTTAAATTTAAGACATTTATAGGTTTTTATAAATGATATTATTAGAATAGTTTGCATGTACGTATAATTGTTTGCAAAATATATTTATGCAAAACGTTAAATGAATGCATAAAAGACCCACTTATAGAAAACTGTTTCATGATCACAAGGCAAACTTATAATAAAACAGCTGAGCAACGGGGATGTATGTTGTATATTATACGTGGGGAGACTTTTTAGACAATGCCATTTGAAAAAGATTGAAATAAATACGGTTAAAATGTTTGTTTCATTTGTTCCTTTTTCTTTCTAACCAGATTAATCTGAACGCAACTTTAGCTAGAACAGTCGATGAATATGTCCCACTCACCATGTAGCGTTATATAATTAGTTTGCGTGCGCTTCCATATCTTACTTATCACTAAACTTAATTGAAAATTTACACATGTCTGCTGGCCAGTATGACCATCCCAGACCATAACTTCATACATGTATTTGATACACATATTTAGTACATTATTTTTATATTATTTTTATGCATGTCTTTATTATCAAGATTATGGAAGCCGAGGGCACAAAATGTACACCGGTTGACAGTAATTCTTATATGTTAATAATTCTACATAAATTGATTATGAATGTTTTTTTTCTTTTCATTTTTACCTAAAAATAGAGAAAACGGAATCCCTTAACGCCCCCCCCCTTCCCCCCCCCCCAAAAAAAAGAAAAAGATTTGCAGGCTTAATTTCATTGAGCCTGTTCATGGACGGTACTGGAAAGTGCAAACTACCGTCCACGCCCCCTAGCACCGGCTTAAGCAGAACTCAACATTTAGAATTTTGGACTTTAGAAAGATCCGCGCAGATGGTGTTCATACAGCGGTTATCATGGAACCTTTAATGTGACACTTTCGTGTGCCCAATGGACCGGATTAAATACAATGTAAAATGGAATTTTCAAAGGGTATTGATGTTATAAAGCCTGCATATCACAAAAAAGACGTCAAAGACTAATTTTAAAAAAGCAGGCACCATACCTTAGGAAAATTATACAGTAGAACTGGAACCACCCAAGTCTGGCACCACCCAAGTTGACAAAGGTCAAATCGAAGGAACAAAAATACCTAACACATGCAAACACAACAATAATGTCGTGCTGAACGATCTGTATACCGACTGGTTACTTCAATATCTATGAATTTATTTAATTAAGGTGGAAATTTACTTGATATATCGGAAACAAACATAGCAGTCCTAAACATTTAAATTTACCCCAGAGACCTGCTGAAATTCAGTAAGGGCTTATCAGCTAGTAAATCACAGTATATATCCCATTAACACATGTACTGAGTTCACTAATTGGCCCTACGTATACTTATCTTATGGCCCTGACGTTGAAGGATAAGATACACAAATACGAGTGTTTTTTTTCTCCATTCTTTTATGATGGGTCTGCGGCAATTATTTGTAAATATAGTCTATATGTAGCTAGTAAACGAATCATATATTGGGACATAAAACATCATTTTAATAAATAAAGTTCCATAGTTAAGTGTCAATGTTACTCAAGTTTTTGTAAAATATTTTATCTGTAACTTCTTATTTTCTTCAAGGTATCATGCAACTTAAAATTGCAAATATTATGCGACATGGTTCGTGTCTCTACAAGTAATATTTTCAGAATTATCTCCCCTTGAACTTGGAATTTTCCTTAGAAAATATTATATTTTACTCTTGCTTCTTTAATTCTTAATGGATCGACTTCAAATATATGCTCCTTATCATCAACCACATCATATGTGACAATGTTTACATTTTTTTCCAGAATTATCTCCCAATGCATGAACTAAGATTTTGTTCCCTTTCTACTTTAACTTCTGTATTTCTTAAGGTATCTACTTCAAATTTCAAATATATGTTCCTTATCAACCACATCATACATGACAGTGTTTTCCCCAGAATTATCTCCCCATGCATGAACTAAGATTTTATTCACTCAAAAAATGTTATTTTCCACTTGAACTTCTTTATTTCTTAAGGTATCTACTTCAAACTTGAAATATATGTCTAGTCTGAAAATTTCCAGAAATATTTCCCCCTAAAACTTGATATATATATTTTTTTATAAAACTTCTTTATCTTGCCCTTAATTCTCAAAAAGAAAATATTAATCACCGAGGTATGATATGCCTTTAATATAAATGTAACTCACATTTATTATTAAGTATTTTCATTGTAATAATAATAATAATTATTATTATAAATAGTTAGAATAATAATATTAATAATAATAATAACAAAAATAATAATAATGATAAACTCTTTATTTAACGAAGATAGCTTATTAAGACAAAGCATCAAAGCATAAGAGACAACACACATGATGCAAACTCTTATTTTCAACAATGCCTCCAATAAACATAAACATAACAATGGACATATTATAAGCAATTATAAAGTTTAAAATATTCAGTAAATCTTAATCAACAAAGAAATCAGACGTTACAGTACAGTACAGTACAGTACAGTACAGTACAGTACAGTACAGTACAGTACAGTACAGTACAGTACAGTAGGTACAGTACAGTAGATAAATATAGAGAATTATCAGACAGTTATTCTAGACTGTCCTAGTATATAAAATACAAATTAGGTGGAAGTTGATCATTGGTGTTGTGATATATAATTACAAAAATAAAATGTTTAAGATAAACATTTGATGTTTTAGTTACTTTTTATGCTCCATTATATCCTTAGTAGACATTTCTCTCTCTCACAAACTTAACTTTAATGTGGTTTATGCTTAATGTATAATTTCAGCATACATTTGTAGGGCTTGTAAAACAGATTATTTTGTTTTGCAGTTGGCCTTTCCTTTCAACTCTTTTTTTTTTTTTAAATTTACTTGTGTGAAATCATAGACAAAACTCAAGATTTTAAATGTTTTCAGGCAGTTTCTGATCACGAGATAAAAAGTCTTTACATCATAATTGTAAGCTATCTATATATCATGGTATATTATAAAATAGGATTTATCTATTATTTCATCAATAAAATACAAGATTGCTTGGAGGATCTATAATAACAATATATATAGACTATGCGACGACGTCACTTTTGCCCTGATGATCATAAGAGAAACCGGTTGGCAAATAATTAAATAAGTTAACTCATGGACTGTGTTTTTTTTGTTTTATTATATATATATATATATATATATATATATATATATATATATATATATATATATATATATATATATATATATATATATATATATATATATATATATATATATATATATATATATATATATATATATACAACAAAATGAAAACAAGTGCCGGAAAAAAGTCACATATAAATAAAACAAAAAAACACAGTCCATGAGTTAACTTATTTCATTAAATAAGTTAACTCATGGACTGTGTTTTTTGTTTTATTTATATATAACAACAACGATCAGATCTATGGATGGTTGTCTATTAGCCCCCCCCCCCCCCTATATCATAAAACTTGCAATACGATCACTAAAGCATGAGAATATCATTTTCTTCAGGGAGCTACAAACATTTTTTCAGTATGTCTTTGTTTCTTCTACATGTAATTCTGTCCACTGTACATACCATGGTTTTTAAAATGATATGAAAAATAATATCTATGTTAGAAACATTATTGAATTTAATAATTAACTAAATTTTGAATAAATCAATACTATGTATTTGCAGACTTTGTTACCTAAAGAGACTTCAGCGAACAGGTTTTATAGTACTGTTAGAGCTGTTTACTGTCGCAACGTCAAAATAAAAGCGATATATAAAGTCATGGCAGCCAGAACTTAGACTTTGTTAGTCAGTAAATATTCGACATTCATGTCATGTCAACCTTTGTCTTTAATATAAATCAGTATCAATAAATCCCTTTCCTATGTATCTATGCTATACAATGAAAAAGAAATTCATTTTACAGTTTTGTTTTAACTTAATGTTCCTGTATTTAATATCAAAACTATAGATACCACTTTTTGAAATCGACTCATGAAAATAGATGTAATGCCATCATGAAAATACCTCTTTAAATTTATTATTACTTTATCACCATTATTCTGTAATCAAATCAGCATACCCGTTATATACATTTAATTCAATATAATAATAATAACAAAAAGAAATTATTTTGCGCTTTTATAGACCTTAAACAAGCTTTTGATACTGTTTGGCGAGATGGTCTTTGGAATAAATTAGGTAATTATAATATCAATGGAAAATGTTTTAATTTTATTAAAAACATGTACAATAATATTAAATCATGTGTTAAATCAAATTCAACTGTATCAAGTTTCTTTCCATGTAATATTGGTGTAAGACAAGGCGAAAACCTTTCGCCTTTGATGTTTTCTCTTTACCTAAATGATCTACACAATTTTTTTGACAATAATACTAATATAAATGGAATACTTATACCTGATAGTGAAAATACAGATGATATGCAGACTTTTTTAAAATTATTTATCTTACTTTATGCAGATGATACTGTTATTTTAGCTAACAGTGAAGATGAATTACAAAACTCTCTTGATTTATATGAAGAATATTGTGATGCTTGGAAGCTAACCGTAAATATTGAAAAATCAAAAATTTTAATTTTCTCAAAAGGAAGAATACCTCAATATCATTTTTCATTTAATAATCAACAGCTAGAAATAGTGCAAGAATATAAGTACCTTGGAATATATTTTAGTAGAAGCGGATCGATCATTTTTTAAATGTAAGAAACATTTATCTACACAAGCAACTCGCGCTATGTATAGCCTAATTAAAAATTCAAATAGATTAAGTTTACCCATAGATTTACAAATTGACATGTTCAATAAAACAATCAAACCAATTCTTTTATACGGATCTGAAATATGGGGTTTTGGAAATTATGATATAATTGAACGTGTTCAACTTAAATTTCTTAAGTATATTTTAAAGTTAAAAAAGTCAACACCAAACTATATGGTTTATGGGGAAACCGGTTGTACACCTCTCTCTATAGATATTGAAGAGAAAACTATCGCATTTTGGTCAAGAATATGTAATGTTAGTCCAGATACATTGCCAAATAAATTATCTTCAGTAGTTTACAAAAATGTAGTTAACATAGCTAAAACATTGGGCAATGAATCATTGAAAAGAAAATATCCTTGGTTTTATAATATTAAAGACATTTTTATCAAATGTGGAATGATACATATATGGACGAACCATCATTTCCCAAACAGTAAATGGCT